TCGAACCTCCATAACATATCGTTTGCACTTTCTATCCCTTTTACTTTCGCTTTTATATTTTTGCTTATTATTTGAATTAATCTATTTAGTCTTTACTTGGTTGAATTTAGATTAATTCTTCGAAAAAGTTTCAAAAACCAATTCACCCCCTCTTGGTTAGTTATTCTTGGGCTAACATTAATCCATAGAATTGGATAGTGTTTCTTGTCAAATTGATCCAATCCCCTTTATCTGAAAATTATTTATCCTAAAATCTGAATATACAATATTGGAGCGCGAGGGTGCTGATATAGGTGTCAAGAACATTGAGATTGATAAGTCTCCTTCATTTATCTACCACTCGCTCATTTTGCTGATTTTGTTGTACAGCTACTCTTTCGACAACTTGTAAAATTGGTTGTATAGGAATATGAATATTTTGATCGTCATCTGATATTTCTGTTTTTGTTAGTGTTCTTTTCGTTTGTGTCTGAAGTACGTTCAATTTTCGGATCAAACGGTTGTGGATTGTCGACTTGGGTACGAAACATACAACGAACACATTTTATCTGTAAATACAAGAAAATAAACTACTAAAATAATAGTCAAAAATAAAATAAACAAAGACTTAATGTAAATAATTTCAGGCAACGGCACCAAAAATTTGCCGTGCTTTTTCTATTGCAAGTGTATGATATTATAACAAATACTATAGTGAACATTTGAGTCCTTATTATCGTTTCCACGAGAACTATACTTTAATACTTAATTTAACATTTCTATCTACTATTTGACAAAAACAAACAAAAAGTTGTGATTTGTTGTGATTTTTTTTTTATCAAAATACTTGAAAATAATTGGATGCACACAAAGATTGATTTAGAATTCAAATATGGAATGAAATATTATGGTATAACAATTTCATCTATTGATCACATTTAAGTCTTAATTTAAAATTTATAACCTAATGCAGTGTTCGATCGAATTCTTCTATTATATTCAGTTTACCCCTCTTGAGTTCTCATTAAACCTATTTAACTAATTTAATCTCATATCTCTATGCAAATAAATTTTAGTTAAACAAAATATTAGTTCTAAAAATTCATATTACGATTACAATAATTAGTGTAAATATCTCTACACGTTATACTAAATTATCGAATTTTACAGTGTGGTCTAAATTTATAACTCATCTCTTGATTCGAAAAGGATTCACAAAATCGTTGAATTAGTAATCAAATAATGAATTATATAAATAAAATGAACACATGAACTTTTAAAGAACTAGACACTTGAATAAAAGAAATAAATGGTCTCAATAGATTACATTGTTTGCCATAGTGAAAAATTTAGCTACTCATGATAGATGAAGAACAACAATAAATAATAATGAAGTACATCATTGAGTTTTGAATTGAGATATAGAAAAGTTAATGAATCTTGCACAAAGTTTCCCTTCTTGTTTTGAATCTTGATTCCAAACCCTTCATTCATTGTTCTTCTCCTTTAATTTTGCTATCTAATTGTCCAAGTTGCATTCTATGTATCTCAATGTGTGGAACCCTCCAAAAGTGTCTACATTCTTATATTAATACTTCTCCCCACCTTTGTGCCAGATGTAGAGTTTTTATTAATTTCAAAACGGGGCCAAAAATCATGCCCTGTGGTCTTCAGGCATCAACCTTCGAAGTAGCGCCACATTGCCACAATTCTACCTGCCTTTTTTGTAAGGCATGAAACCAAAAAACGGAAGCAGAAATCGAAATCCACAGTAGCACAATTTAACCAACAACAATCCAGTTCCACATTCAGATTTAGGGCTCAGAAAGTT